ATTATTACAATTTATACCCACTGTAGACAAATTTAAAGCCATTCAAGTAAGAAAAATGCTTTTATTCCTCAAAATTCCAAACTGAATGATGAAAGTCCCAATTTTAGTAGCTTATTTGCCAGAATTCTCCAATTCTCTTAAAGAGAAAGGAATTTTTCTGAAAGAAGTGAAGGGGCCCACTCCTTGGGAGTAACCCTATAGGGAAGGCAAGGGAGAGATGGAAAGGCAGAATTCCCAAATTATGTGTAAGAAATGCAACAGAGGACCCCTTCTGGTCTGTGAAGTCACAAAGTACGTACATTTGTATTTCCTCCCCAAAGCCTCAGCCCTTAAATCCCTGATGGTTGCACTGAACTCATACATATCACAAGGCCATTGTAGATAATGAGGCAGTCTTGATAATTCCAGACTTAAGGAACCACAGAAGGACTTGAAGCCTCATGAATGCTATTAGAGGTAAATTAGTATTTTAATAAGGTCCTTTTGCTACAAGCAGTAATAAACTCATTTTGATATGTTAAACTAGTGCACCAAGAGAGGGGGACTTCAGATGCAGTTATTGTTGTGTGCCTGCCACTGAGTCAGTTCTGACTTATAGTGACCCTACATAACAGAAAATAAATACCTCACAGGGTTTTCTAGGCTGTATATTTACAGGATAAGATTCAGGTCTTTTCTCCCACAGAGTTACTGGATGGGTTCAAAATGCCAACTTTTTGGTTAGCAGCCAAGTGCTCAATCATTGTACCACCAGGGCTCCTTACGTAGCACGATGCAGGAAAAATGTATAGGAATAAAGTCAGATGAACTTGACTTCTATCTGACTGACCATCTGACTTTGAGGAAGACATATAATACTTCAGGATCCAGTTACCTTGTCTATAAAAGAGGGAGTTGAATAATTTCATCTCTCAGGTGTTGTATAGATTAAAACTTTTATGATACATGGTTTATGATAAAGTCTGCTTTATGCTATTGTCAGAGTAAAGGAGAACCAGGTTGGAATTGCGGTTATACTGGGTTAAGCATTGGTTTGGAAATCTGGTGATGTGGTTAAGGAAGGTTGGGCAATCCTACTTTCGTAGTGATACTGCCTCGGAAACCCAAGGAGGGGTCGCTATGAGTTGGGTTTGACTCGATGGCACATAACAACAACAACAACA